TTTAAATTATTCATCATTGTTTTTGTTCTTATTAAGGTTTCCTTCTCCTTTTTGTCTACTGGCATGAGAAAAAAAATCATTAGAAGGTTCGTACAATAATGAAACACAACGAGCGTAGCACCAGCTGAGGGGACTGGTTGTTATGTGTAAAACATCGCAGGCAGGAAAACAGAATTGAGCAAAACAACAATTAGGTGCAAACACACTGCAAGGATGACAAATTAAAATCAATTAGTGCCCGTGGCAAAAATACTAACCAGTGACGGCAAACTATTAAAAAAGTCAGAGCTAAAGTACACAAAGAAGCCACCCAGCACTACTATTTTTATCGGAAATATAAAGCACACCACTACATTACCTTTCCTAACACTTGTGTTGGATGGTGTATAAGGTGCAGTGCTGGCAACAGTCAGGTGTAATATTTTTGTGATGGCAGAAGCCCTTGAAGTTGCCGGATCTTTTTGCTGCATCAGTGGTGAGCTCAGCAGTCTTCAGTTTGTCCTAATCCCTGCATCATTGTTTATTAAGCAGTCAGGGCAATGAGTCAGTGAAGCAATTTTGCCTTTCATCTCCCTTTTTTCCATTTTCATTCTTTGCTGTCAGTATTTAATTAATGTATTTGCAGCAATTTTTCAACCTTCACTGCCGGTGACAGAGAGCCTCCCCGACTATTTCCTTATCAATTTGTTTCGAGGAGCCAGACCTTGGTCTCTCGTTTGTATTCTGAAACCTGTGACAGGACCATCATAGAATGTGCTCCACAAGACTGACACTTCTGGGAAGTAATTTGTGGTAATAATTGCCAAGTAAGTCCCTGAAAAGCTTAAGTTCAAGCACGTAGTCTTCTGTTTCTTAAATGATTGATAGGTTTGAATGGGAGGTCGTTTTCAGAAATCCGCCTATTAATCCTGACTTTATATTAGCTTTTCAATGAACCTGGTGTATTTGCGATGAGCTGTATAAATACCAAAATCCTACAGAAAGAAAATCAGTTCAAACCAGAAATAAATCCTCCACCTATGTCTTACATAATCACCCACGGTTATCTTAAATATGCACAGGAGGTGAGGGCTGAGGTAAAGGTGTGAAATTAACAAAACCACAGGAGATATGAAGAGTGTATGTCTCTGAGTTTATTCACGGCAGAGTGAATGATGAAACCTGTGGGTAACTGCTCCAGCCACACACAACCTCTGTCTAATTAAGTTTACCTCCAGTTTACCCAGATGAGTCCAGCACCTTCTCAGCTGCCTTTAGACGAGGGGGAGGAAACTAGTCGTGGTCTTTTGCTAAAATGTCGCGGTTTCTTTCATCATCATCGTAGCACACTGACAAGTTTCAAAATGGAAAAAAGTCTCGACAATTGTACAATTTTTTTTTCTTGTTTCTTTTCATTTTTTTCTCCCAGAACTCAATGCATAGGATTATACAGTTAGAATACAGTATTTCAACATGTTTTACAAAGATTCATATGATATAGCAAACAAGAAATAAAAATAATAACTGCACAGCAGTAAGAAAGGTCATTTGTCGAGTATAGATAGTCATTTATCGTTCACACCGTGGTATAGCTTAAAAACACTGGGCAAAACAACACAATTGGAACAATTTTTCCGCTATATTCAAATCTACATATGGGGCGACGTTTTGACTCCAGACTAATTTGGAAATAACTTGTTTTTAAGAGCGATAGAAATCACATTGGCCACTGATATACATGATTTAATTTTGGCTTTTTTTTTTTTTTTTTTTTGCCACTGCCTTTAAAGTCCTAGTAAGCACACACCACAAACACCCAAACGAAATGCACACGTGGAAACTGCAAGTGTAAAAGAAATCATACTGAATAGTCTTCAGCCTATTGGCACACAAATGGCTGCAGCAGGGCTTTCACCATTTTAGACAGCACACATAATATCACAAGTCCAAATACATTGCTGTGTCTATAGCACTATCTTCATCATAATCACCAAGGTTAATTTAGAAACAATACATCTATGTATCTTCCTATTCAATAAGGCACATTTGTGGTTAAAGAAATGCTCTGAAAGAAGCGTCTTGCATCGACTCAGTCAGCGAGACAGGAGTGAGCAGTAAACAAGAGTGGAGACAGGGATGGAGGCTGCAGTCGGCTTGCAATTAAGATCAAAAGCCTCCCCGCTGATTCCATTATACAGAGTGTCACTCTGCACTGCACTGAGTGGGCAGCGCCAAGTGCTGTTGGTCAGGAAGCCAAGGTGCCATGCTGAGACTGCAGGCAGCCTGGCAGACGCGGGGTCTCTGCTAGCCCCTCCTCTGTCCACGGCAGGAACCATTAACATTCTACGTCTCTCAAGCTCAATATGCTCCATCGGCCGCACGCACTTTCACGATCAGACGGAGGCAGGACAATTAATTCATCCGTCAACACCAAAACCTACAATTGAGGGATAGAGCATGGTGGCGTTTAATGGACCAAGAATGATCAAACCCTCACTCCCATCCTGTCAACAGCCCGGCTCTGACACTGACATGTCAATATTCCAATTATAATAACACTTATGTACATGAGTGAATGTGACGAACCCCAACCCCATCCCACCCACACCGTAGAAAGGCTAGGACCACTATCATTTGTTCAGAGTGTTCTATTTTAGTACCGACTGCATCTCTGAGAGATCGCCCACACGAAATGCAAAAGGGTCTTTCAGAGCTTTAGAGGCAGAATGCATGATAACTAACTGAAAGATTATAGGTGTAATACTAAAAGAATGGCACTAAAAACCGTAGCCCAGTAAATGCACGTACCAGATAAAACAACCAAAGCATATTGCTAATTTACTACTGTGTGGATAACATTAAAACGTTAATGCATCAGTGGCTCAAGGTATTCTTACATTATTGCAGGGCTAATATGACATGACATGGCTCCAAGACAGAGTTATATCATCACTGCTTGTTTAAAAGACATTTTTATAACAAAGAAAAGGATAATAATAATAATAAAATTCAAATTAAAAAATCAGTCATCAAATGAAATGCCTTAACAAACGTCCCCTGTGTGCTTTAAATTGAAGTGGAATGTTATGTATCATGGCACTGTACAGTAAAGGGAGATACACTGTGCTGTTCTTCTTTTCCATAAGCACAAACGGCTTTCTGACTAAAAACAGAAAAAAAGGTTTTTTTTATTTTGTTTTGTTTTTCTTTCTCAACCGTCTTTGAAATAACTGGTGACCTGGTGTACATACCACGCTTATTTATATGAGCCAGTGCATTACTAGATTAACCAGTGTCCTGATAAGGACAGAGTTTAGTTAATGTACAGTGTCCTTATGAGAACCCGGTGGTCTCAGACATAGACTGTATGTAGAAACTGGACAACACCTGTGGGGTTGTTGGGTGAGGCTGTGGAAAAACACCACAACTGTAACGCTGGGTTTGATGTGGTTCGTAAAAAATGTATGTGCAAGAAAGATTTACAATGAATATCAATGTTTTTACCGTCTCGATCATTCTTTGACACTTCATGCAGACAGTTAGGTCCACTGTAAGGTAAAGTATAAGTATCAGAGAATAGGTAGTAAACAGGAAGAGGCTAATATGATTGTGTCACGAAAACCTAAGCTAATGTCACTTCCAAAATCACCAGTGTTCTTCTGGCTGATTCCCCAGCTCCACCCTCAAAAGGACATGGTTCCATCCAGTTCTTATTTACAGTCTAAGGTCTAAAAGCAAAAAATTTAAAAACATATCACTGGCTCCAGTGTTTCACTTTGTGAAGGGTTGGGAGTGGGAGAGAGGGCGGGGGCAATAATGACAGAAAGCAGGCGTACCTTCACCTCCACGCCTGATAGTAGGCATTCTGTGTGCGCACACACGTATCCGTACATTCACACACTATTAAAGTCCAAGTGAACGTGCACTGGAATTGTAGCAACACCCGCTATTGTTCACATGAACTTCACACAGACATCTATGCACACACAGGCTAATAAAAACACTATTTGCACCACGAGGTGATCCATTTAAAAAGATAATTTTTTTTTTCTTATAAAGCTTCCCGCAAGGAGACGGCACGATAAAAAAAATATATAATACAATTCTTAAAACCTTTTTTCTAGACAGAAAGAAATTGAACATCTGATTATCTGCTATGCCAGTGCTTCACAGAGGGGCTTTGTTGTCAGACAGAAAAGTCCTGAACAGCATCAGGGAGCTACGTATATAGCATGAAGCATAAGGGACCAAGCAGACCTTTAAAGTTTGGCAAGTTAGCTTTAAGGCATACCTAAGACCACGTACCTCAACATTTCCTTTTGCTTTTTGCTATTTATCTGCATTTCATCAGTCCCTGTTCGTTACAGTTTACCATACACACCAATAATGCACAAGTCCCTCGCACTTTTCCTTATTTCCATGTTAAAATCTCTGAATAGAAGAAAAAAAAGCCCCTCTGGTCACTGGCAGTATCCGGCTACACCATAACCCAGCTTCCTCCCTTCACTCAGAGGGGTTAGAGATCAGTCACTTTGTTTTCCAGGGCGGCTGCTATCTGCTGGAGCCGCAGGGTCAGCTGTTTACTCTGGGCACCTGGATCCTCTTCCAGAGAAGCGATGATCTGAAAGGAAGGGGAAAAAGGTGGGAAAAATGAAGACAATGAGACAGTGAACGTGAAGAGAGGAGAGGAGAGGATTAACGCAGAATTAGAGCAAAAAAATGACAGAGAGAGAGCTGAGGATGATGGTGCTGTTTGACATCAACGGTCACTAAATATGTTGCTGTTTGCGAGCCCCACTTATAGGAGACTGACAGTCTCAATTATAGAATCTAACATGTTCATTAGGTTTTGTTTACCTCCCCCTCCTCTCTCCCTTTATGACCTGGAGTAGCAAAGTACAATGGACGCATTAAAATCAATTCCCGGAGCAATTTTCCAATTCACATCCCACAGAAATGCTTTCAATTAAAATTTCATACAATCACTCTTCTGGTATATCAGGAGTGAAGTGAGGTAAAAAAAAAAGCAATAACATAGTGAGCAGCAGTGCATTCAGTGGAATAGCCTCCTTTAGGTGTGATAGGAGGAGAAGAGTCTCTTACCCCGTCGTAGTATTTGCTGGCATACTGGTAAAGCTGATGGAGAGCCACTTGAGTGTTCAACTTGTCTGTGTGAGACTGGAAAACACCAACGACACGAAACAGAACTTAGACCATGAGACATTGACAGGTGCCACCAGCCACTATCAAAACAATGACTTAGTAATGACTACAATCCACCAACTCTTTCAAACTAAATTTTGAGTTTTACTTTTTCATATTTTTCTCAACATTTTTCCATAGGAATAATTCCATCATTTGGATTAGTCACAGAAAAAAACAGGTGTCAAACACGTACATTATTTATCTTCCTGCTCCTGCAACATACAGATTGTTCTGTAATATCGATTTGTCTTAATTATTCATGATTAATCGTAACTAATACCTAACTAATCATGATTAATATAAAATGTCAAAACACTGAATAACATTGGCTGTAATAGCTGGATGTTGACTCAAATATTCAATCGTAATTAATAGTGATCTAAATTAATCACGATTAAAGGGTTCGAGAGCCTCAGTTAGAAAGTACAAATATTGCCAGAAAAATAAATAAATGTGTAACTAGTGTAAACATCCCATAATATAAAATGTGAAAACACTGAATTAAATTGGCTGCAATAGTAAAGCTGTGATTTTTAATCTGTATTTTGCATTTTAAAATATACTGTATATATATATATATGCGTGTGTGTGTATTCCAACTATGATTCAGATTCAGATTAGTGGATTTGGACTTAGTCATAAAGGCAGCCCAGACTGTCTTATATTCCTGCGGTATGCTAATTTGAATTAGCAAGTCAAAAGAAATCCCCATGACTACCTCTCCCCAGGTGCATAAGGGAAAAGGCTTAAATGTGCATTAGGTGTGTGCATGCTTGAAGAAAAGCAATTATGGTACAGAAAAACCCCAGTTACTGCGATGAAGCCGAACCAACCAAGAGTGAAATCTTAAAGATATAACATTAATAACAGCCATGAACTGAGTTTCTCACCCGTGAAACCTCTGCCAGATGAGTGTTCATGTCTTGGTCACTGACAGGTACCATCTGCCTAATGCCCTTATAGTAACTACACACACACACACACACACACACACACACACACACACACACACACACACACACACGCACACACAGGAGAGAAGGAAAATACAAAAGAGTTAATATTTGAGATTCGTAATTAGCAAATATTTTATCACAATAAAAAAAACAGAAATACAAAGTTGATAAAATAACACTAGTGCTATCTACAGATATGGAACAAGTGCCCAAAAACTCATCTTCAACAAATTTAGAACTCCATGAAAAAAGAGATCTTGTTTACGGAGAGAGCACAAATTCCAAAGAATCCCACACAGGGCACTGTTGATTTTTTGAATAGATTTCCATATCAGATTATTTTCTTTAGAAAACCTGTCCTGAGCAGTCACATGAAACAAAAGTTCATGTTTTTTCAACTAGTCCGGACATAGTTCTGTTTAGGTCCCAGGTCTGTGTTCATTTAAAAAAATGTTTTAAAATTATTAAAATCTATATAATTGACATCAGGACCAGGATGGGGTTAATATTTACTGCAGTAATATTACAGTTTAAGCCATTAGTTCTGTATTTGTGTGCAAAGTAAAATAAAATGAGATAAAATCTCCCCAATCGTAGAGTGATTGTCGTTGCCTTTTCAAACTCATCATCATCATTATAATTGTGAATGGGCAGCTGATGTTGGGACTTACTCATCCACCATCTTCTTATAGGTGGAGATCTCCTTTGCATAGAGTAGTTTGTTACTTGGAGAGTCCTAGAGTCGGAAAAAACGAGCAGAAAAACATGGGCACTTCAGATAACGTGACCTTCGACATATCAAGTGTGTTTTTTTATTTCTTCATATCTTCTTGAACACTCGCATTCTAAAATCCACTTACCCGGCTGAGTTTGTGTTCACTCTTTGTGCAGGCATCCATGAAAGTCTGGGCGATGACAGAGAGCGAGGCGTCCACCACTTCAGACACGTGGACGTCAAAAGTGAAGTGAGGATTTTTGAGTATATTCACCCAGAACCGCAGGGGAAGGCTGGGAGTTCAGAATATGAAATGAACAAGAAATCAGTATTTTTCCTTCACTTCATCACAATTACAAATGTGCTTCACATAGAGGAACGTCTTGTGTGAGAGACGTTGCCTGAGGTGTTATTGAGTGCAGTACAAAGAAAATACCAGGTCTAATTCTGTCCAGAACAATACACTCCACAGTCAGTCTAATTTAGAATTTCAGACAATGCCGACCTCTGTGAAAATGACTTCCTGTTTCTCACCATAAAGAAGAGAAAGTCAACCTTAAAACACAATTTTTTCAAAAGAAGAGAAAGTCAACCTTAAAACACATTTTTTTCAACAGGACAAAAAAAAAACAAAAAAAAAAACAGCTGTACCACCATAAGTCTCCTCAAACACAAAGTTTTCCTTTGTGTACAAAAGAACACACGCTCCGTATGTTTGTTTCCAACCTGGTATCAGCTTGTGAATTTAAAAGAACACCCAAAATACAACATCTTCTAAAAAGCACTCCTCCCTGATCTGTGTGAAAAGCCAGCCATCTGAGACATGAAGCTCACTGTGTGTAAGATTCACACCGGTTTGGTTACAACTCCAGGGAAGCCTGCTGAGGGGATACAATGCCAGAATAAAAATAGAAACATTTCCATAATCAAAGAATTAAATTAGCCCGGGACATAATTACCATGCCTGTTTGTTGTTATGCCTCATACACAGATTCATATTTAATACATGGCCCCCTTTTCAATTTGATAAACAGAAGGGTTGGCTGAAGAACATGGTGTCGAATGTGGTAAGTAATTAAATTGCTCATCTCCTGTCCTTGTGCGAGTTCTCTCGTGCTAGGCCTACGTCAATCACCTACATCTACATGCAACACGTCGTCTTGTATTCTTGAGCCTTAGCCGGCGTGACACTAATTTATGCACTTAAATGTCACATGGGAGCAGAGGGATGGCAAAGGCAAACCAAGTGAGTTGGAATGATTCATTTGTATTCCGCTCCAACTTTGACAAGTAAGTTTTATTTCATATTAAAGTTATCGTATCTCAGCGTAATGGGCCAACTGTTTGTGCCAGTGTTGTTAAAAGAGAGATGAAAGTCATTTTTACAGGAATAAAAAACTGTTTCCCTACTGAAAAAATTCATTTCCTCCAGACTTTGTATTTTTTCATAATCTTATATTGTAAACCTGTGGACGTTGCAAACAAATGACATGAGCTAATGTTTGATGAGTTAGGATTATACTTCCTATACTGAAAATACTGCAGTTCCTTCCCTACAATACCATATGATCCACATCAATGGTTCTAAAACTATGGCTTGCTGTATCTTTGTTGGTACGTGGGTACGTTTAAATACAACTACATATACGTTATATTTGATATTCTTAACTGTACTTGTTGTAGTAATCTGTAAATGAATAAATTCCTAAAATACTATGCTAAACTGAATACTGCTGTATTTTAATACAAGGAATCATTGATTTAATTCAAGCAGCTAACTGTTAACTCTCAATGAAAAAAAAAAACAAAAAAAGAAAAGAAAACAGAACTAAAGATAATACCAGTGAAAACCTTATAAGTAAGAACATCTTAAAACACTGATTATTATATTCACACACATCCACTCTGTCAACAGAGTGGATGTGTTTACTTTACAATTGCCAACACCTGTTTCTGTCTAAAAACATATTTGAAATGATGTCATACAGTATCCGTACCTGTTAGTCTTCCAGATATGGATAGTCTCCTCGTCCACGTTGTTGTGTTTAAGTGCCTGTTCATCCAAGAAGTCAAAGAAATATTTCACAGCCGGCGGCACCACTGCCCCAGAGCACAGCACGCTGCGGAAGAAGTCGTCCACGAACTGCTGCAACGTTCCCTAAAAGTGCCACAGGTACACGGGTGTTTGTGAGAAATACTGGAATATTTACTTGAGTTTTTTGGGTTTTTTTTAAACTGGACTTGAAAGAGTGAAACTGTTATTTGACAATAACTCGATTAATAAATATATGATTGAATAAATGAACCTTATTTTTCCTACCTTGACAGAAAGGAGCCGCGTCAGATAGATCTCTGTAATGGCTTTAGTCATCGACTTGTCTTTGATGCTTCCTCGTTTTGATTTGATGTCGTCCAGTTCGTCCGCTGGCCTCACCAAATGAAATACCTTGTCATCATCCAGCAGAGCATTTCCTAGGTGAAAAAAAAATTGTTTTCCACCATTATTCATGCTCAGTTTTACAGCTTTACAACTATTCAAATCATGACAAATAGGAGGATGTTTGTCAGCTGAGTTTGAATGCAGACAGAAAAAATGGAATTGTACTGGGTATTGTGAAATGTGGGGAAAAAAGCTAATGTTTTTTAGCATAACTCTAAAATATTCTACATTAAACAACATTTATTAGCATGTATAATTAGAGCAGGATTCTTGACAAAAGCCCAGGAGGAGAAAACCTCAGATAAGCTTTGCATAACCAAGCAGTGATGGGATCAGTGTGTTTGTCCTTACGTTCTTCATGGTTCTCTTGGTTTTGGTCGTAGTTCTGCGGAGTGTGGAGCAGCCTGGATAAAACTAACGTGGCATTATCTCGCACCTGAAAGGAAAAAAGGTCTTCTGTCAGACAAAGTACCACAATCAACAAGTCACACAATAACCTTTGTAGAAACTGAGACAGAGGTCACCCGGGCTTTTTTTAGGGTCTTAGAACTAAATTATAATCAATAAAGAATCATTGTGTGACAACAGCGGTTCTATACTGGGGCATTTACAGGGCATTTTCGCTGATGGCGACCCATTATTGACCCTTTGGATACTGTGATGAGGGTCATTCAGAGGCAGCAAGGATCAAAGAACAGTTGGAAAACAGCAGTTGGCTCAAAGAAGGGAAGTGTGCTTGAAAGTGAGGGATTTGAGGGGGCCAAACGCAGGGCAGGGAGAGGGTATTTAGGAGTGACCTTCATTTCTGTGGATCGATACAAAAAGACTTCAACATCTAACCGGACTGCGATGCTGCCAAAACCACAGGATTAAGCCTAAAATGAAGGAGAAGAGGACGTGTCCAAGTGGCATCAAACCCCACCGTGTTTTCAGAACTTACGTTATAGTGTGCCAGGGTATTGATGCGTTTCCATCTGCCCTCCTTTTGGGAAGTCAAATCCAGATCAGACAAAATCTGCCCTGTTGATCCAGGACGCCACTCTGTAGTTACGACAGAAAAGAAAAGTCATTTATTTGGAAGTAAAACATTTGACACAAAGTCTCAGTTACATTGTATGTAACTAAAATAGAATTCTAAAAATATTTGGCTATTTTTTCATTATTTCAAGTAATCTCTGGAGTATTCTCAAAGCTTTTAACTAACTTCCATCTTAATTTTGTGACTCTAGCTATATATAAGCTAACTATATTAGTTAAAACCAGCTCTGTGGGCTTTTCCTATTAGCACATATTACAGTAGCTTTGTTGTGTGGCTGATTTAAAACTGTGATTCAAGGGATCTACAATTCATTTAGCCCTCTGGCCTCACTTGTGTCAGACGTGTACTGACATTTTTTTTTACTAATTTATGAATTACTTTCATCCTGGAGTAATGCTACAGTAATATAACAGTAATTCTGTCCTTCAAGCAGTCAGCCCTGCCTGTCTCCCCGAGCGTCTTGACACACTTGAGCGTTGTAGGCAGGATGTGACACTTGAGTGTTTTCTGAATACTTTAAATCTAATTCTGAAATGTCATTTGCAGTCTGACACTTTCAATTTAAAAACAACTGCAACCACTTCAGACCTGGCCTCGACACCATCCGCTGTATTGTACATTATTTATTTTCAAGTGCCACTGAGTACAACAGGGTTATCTACGAGATTCCCCATGAAAGAACACAGATCTGTCCTTATCGAAAATTAAAAAAGGGAATGAAAGCTAAAGCTGGCGTGGGAATTAAAATTGCTTCGTTGTAGAAAATGTTTCTGGAGTCTTATATTGTGCAGACAAAAAAAAAAGGTATATGTGTATATATATATGTAGTCACACAAATATATATATATATACACACGTGTATATATGCACATCTATATAGAAATATATATATACACATATATGTTTATATGTAAACATATATAGAAATACAAATATACACATATATTTATATATACAAATATGTATATATATAAATATGTGTATATATATAAACTTGCATATATACACGTGTGTATATTTGTGTGTGTACATATATACATACATATACCACAATTGTTTTTGACTGCACAATATATATATATATATATATATATATAAGATATACAGTATATATATATTTAAAGTGTATTGCTCTTGTTCTTTATTATTGCCCCTGGTCTCTTACCCAGTGTGACACTGTCGACCTTGGGCCGTTGGGAGTACGACAGGTTCCTGTACACCTGCTCTATGATCTTCTCTTTCACCTGTGAGATGGTGTCACAGTTCAACACTTTGACTGGTGTCACATCTGGCCCCTCACCATGCACCAGCACTTGCACAGTCTAAAAGAGAAACACACACACACACATAGGAGAAAATACTTGGTAAATATAAGTGCAGGTCAAATGTATTAATGCACAAACGACAGAAAAAGCCCATTATTAGTATTAAACATGGCCAGAGCACTCGTTCATCAACGTAAATGTGCACCCACAGATCTTTTGACACATTGTTGCCATGGTTACCTGGCTTCTGACATACACATATAGAACACTGGCACGTTGAGGAGTGCTTCCCGCTGAGGGAGGGGAAGACTCCTGTCACCTTGGCTGGCTAATGGCCAATGCTCAGTGGGAATACTCTCTGACCTGTCTCACCTCCCACTCTCAGTCACTCTGACAGTCAGAACTGAGAGACCAATCTACAGACTGGAAGGAGCAGACAAGGAGCAGACTTATATATGCATCTGCATTGAAAGTGATTGAGGGAAAAAAAAAAGAAAAGTGAAGTGAAGCCAAATGGATATGCCATCTGTGAAATTAGGACCATTAGATTATTAAATTGCAGAAGATCCATCATGAAGTGAGACATGTAATTCAGTCTAATTTGATAACTGACATTAACAATACACGCGGGCCTTTTTAGTTGTGCTAAATTAAACAAACAACAGATGCCTTTAAATTTGCTGCCGAAACATAACGTTTTTTTTTTTAACTTCCGACAGCAGCAAAAATTGTTGAACACACCAGGTGGCGCTCACAAAATCATTATAAAGTGGCTTTTAGTCTAGAGACTTTCAACCTAGACTGTGAACTTCTCTGCTATATTGGAACGTGGTCTCTGTGTCATTTTCTAGGCGAAAACACTGACTCTGTAAAATGGATGTAAGACAAAAGTGAGCAGTTGCCTGAGGATTGTAAGGAGCGCTGGTTTCCATAGCAACCCATGCAGTTTGACGAGTGTGGACCTGTTTATTTGAGTTTTTAAAGCAGCTTGTGCATTTTTTATGACTTGCAGATTTTATGTGTGTCGTTTGTTAGTTGTGCGTTTGTGTGTGTTTTTTTTCTCTATCTCACCAGGACGGAGTACTCCACGTCGTCGCCCAACAGGCCAGTGTCGTTAAGCGTGTACTTGGCTTTCTTCACTCGGGCATCCACAGGTCCTTTCTCGATCTGGTGCTTGATGGCGCGGAACAGTTTGTACAAGGGTTCGCCTGCGGAGTCCTGTTACACACACACACATAAAATGCATCTCCAAAGCGCCACAGATGTTGTAAACAAACTAATTGTTGTGATTAGCAGTTAAGAGGAGAAATAAATGCACATCGTCAGTGCTTGCCACCGATGAACAACATGAATTACTCTATAATTAAGAGATTTCAACTTTTTTTTGTCCACCATAACATTAATAGCACTAATAAAACAATCAGATTTGGACCGTCTTAGATAGCTATGTACAGCTGCAATCACAACATACATACAACATAAAAAACTTATTTTGTCAACCCATGACCCTTGACCTCAGTTTACCTTTAAAAACTGATAAAGACAAATGGACATCCAGTTGCAGAGCATCCTTTCCACAACTGTCTCAGACCTGTAACAGCATGAAAGACACAAGTAAATGCGGTGAGTCACGGTGAGAGACAGTATTTTCACATTATGCAGCACACAGTGAACTCTCCGTTGATCCCCTGGGGGGAATCTGCTTTTACCCCATGTACAATTAAACAAACCACAAATAATATTGTTTTTCAAGGGTTGAATTTAGACAACACAAATGGGCAAATGAATATGTTCGTCTTCGTCTTCCAACTAAACCACCGTTTCTCTGTCTGACTCCATTGATTTTAGTACTGAAACTGTCAATAGTGTTTAGGCCAAAGGTCATCAGGGGCATTTTTTTGACTTAAACCCCCTCACACTGGCACCGTTTCTTCACAGATCACCCTTCCTAATGTCAGCTATCCACTGGTGGCTCTTTCTGTTAGCTGTTAGCATTTCTAATTACATGTCTTGTATATAAGGGGGCCTCTGTTGGCACAATGGCTTAATCAGCGTAATGAACCACTCCATTGGGGGATAATTAAGATGTGTATGTTGCCAGGGTGGTTGTGCATATCAAGCAGTTCCTAACCCCTCGCTGAGCAGTGATGAGCAACAGTACTGTCACACAAGTGGGCACCTGCTGACGGTGGTGTCACTGGCTGACCGACCTTGACATTAACACTGCAGTACAGGGTAAATAACAGCACAAAATCAGTCTGGACTTTGTTTGTTTTGTTTGTGTTTCGCAAAGTTAAGTTTTTTAACCCTTCACTTTAATTCATTTATTTGAAGTGTGAAGACCATTTTTTTTTCAACAAACATTATAAATGTTAGCATACTGCAAGCGAATGTTTCCAAAAATCTTTTTGCAGCATCCTAACTTTAGGTAAGTCCTTGTCAAGGCCCCAACATCAACACATTCACAGCTTTTGCTTTAACACTTTAATTAAAAGCTTGTAATTACTTCACACTACTAGTGTTTTATTTAGGTAATATTATGCTTTCATTAAAATCATATATTAGCACTGTGGGACAAATAAAGAAAAAATGATTTAATATGCCTGTCTGCACTTCCCTGCGATCGCTCCATGTCCTCAAAGGGCCCTGCCCCATACTTTGGGAAACACTTCTTGAGGCAAATACTGATAAATAATATTTTGATCAAGTTATACCACCCCAATGTCAGATCATATTCTAAGGCAACGTCCAAAAAGAACCCAATTCGATTTGTCTTGAACATCACGGCCCTGGAGATAAACTCGGATATCATCCGTCAAAAGTTACAGGATGAAAAAAACACAAAGAAAAAATGTCAGAGAAACAGTGGAAGAAAAAGTTTTCTGACGTGTTTTGGGGAGGGAAAAAAAATTATCACAGAAGGAGAAACAGAAGGAAGACGACTGGAATAGATCAAACAGAGAGACTGTCTCTTCACACGAACTACAGCGTTCTGAGAAACAGAAAACATGGCAACAGGAAGAAACTGTTTCCTAGATCTGGAAACAAATCATAATTCTCCAAAATCCATTAGTGTGAACGGGACCACGGCTCAGACCTGAGGCCTGAGAATTAATAATTACTGTGAACAAAAGCCACTCATTAAGAGTCAGAATATAACCTAATGTAAAATCTGTGCAAGGATGTAGTGAAGATATAGGCTGGGCCATAAAAGGTATATTACACAGTGCTGTACTTTTATATGTGACGTGGGAAATTAAAGCAATGGGATTGTTTTTTTTTTTTTTAGAAAATTGTCAATAAATTAATTCAATTGTAAAATTGAAAGCTTTTATAATCTCAGAATGTAAAATAATAAACATAATGTCCCTAAAGTCACTGATATTGGAACCAGCTTTCAGTACACATACCTTTTCATTATATGCTTGTTTTGCAATAAGGACTTTCAATTTTAGACAATTTTGTAATATAATATATGTATATGTATAACACTGTATAGTAAAGTATTGTATCGTATTATGTATTATATCAAAGACAAAGGAACCATTTAAAATACAACATTTCAGAAGATTACTTTTTACTGGGTTACTTTTCAAAGCATACAGAACTGAGAAACTCTCAGTTTCCCCAGAAGGTTTCTCAGTTCTATAAGCACTGATGTGTTTCCACAGCTTCATCCTCCTTTCCCCACTCCCTTTCTCCTTAATTATTGACTGCAGGTACAGCAGTGTCCTGTGGGTTTGTCTGTCTTAACCATACACATTCTGGTTTGATTTTCATCTGATTTAATGATGCGCTCTGAGTCTGTGTCATCTTCCCTTTAGTCTCATTTAAGTTTAACTATGACAGAAGTCTGGTTTCTCTTCATATCCTCAGCAAAGCTCAGCTGACTGACTAGTGCTACAGCCTGTGGGAAAGTATTAAAAATTAAAAACAGTTATTTCAGAATCACATCTCCTTGAAGCTAATCGCCTTCATATGTTTTATGTTTTTTAAAGTTCAAAGTTCAAACTTTAGTGTTTTTCTGTATAAAAGAAATAATACATTAATAGATATTACGAGAGTGGTTTGACCTCAAATGCATCATTTCCTGTGTGACAGTGAGTAACACAGGACTTTTCAGCACTGTTTGACTTTTGAACCCCCACCAGCAGCACCTGCTCCTCACTCACCTGCGCAGCATCAGTTTCGGGTTCTTGCTGTGGACGTACTCCTCCATCAGCTCCAGCATCAGGGTTCTCATGATGTCCGTGTAGTACTCCAGTTTCCCATGCAGAGCCACTGTCAGCAAAGATGCAAAGTACACCTTGGCCCTGGCGTTGAAATCATGACTGCGCTCCAGAGTGTGGATAAACTACAAACGCCACACACACACACACACACAAACACACACCAGACGGAGGAGAAGAAAAATGACAAGCAAAATTAATCCTCCTGGAGATGTTCGTGCTCACAAACACAAATCCCGTATTACTCTGCCTTTCAATATTCAAGACACTAATGCCGCTAAAGACAATTATTATCAAGGTAAATTTAGTTTTGCCATTTGAAATGCTGCGACTCAGGAAATATACCAATTATTAAGGGAAGAATCGCCCACGCATACGAAGTTAACACCTTCGAGATCTGCTCCGGCGCCAACAATACTGCTTTATTAGAAAACTTCACACGTCTGCCATGTCCTCCTGCTGTGTCTCCTGTTTTTCACTAACACGGTTCTCTGAAACATTTCGAAAACATGACACGCTCCACCATTCAGGGAAGCCTGAACTGCCTGCATTTAAAATAGATATAAAGGTCTTACCACTAATAAAGACTAGGGAACGGAAATGGTTTGAAAGCTTTCAGAGATGTACTGGAAAACGCTGCCAATGCAGTAGGAGGTAATTTCACAGAGGTGGTTGTCTAACAGAAGCTAAACTAAAAAAAAATAAAGTGGAGAACGGTGGTTTTATGCCTTGTAGTGCTTAAAAAAAAGCTGAGGATTTTTGCTTTTCAGACCATGTCTGAAAAACTTAACAACAAATATCCTTTCATTTGAGAGACTGGCTCTACTCTGTGACTCTGTGTAAATTACATTGATGAGGAAGGTCTTGGAGTGCAGCAGGTTGGAAAACTGGTTGAGGGACTGGTTCACTGTGGCCCGTCGGGACTCTGGGATGTCCAGCTTCCCTGTGATCATGACATCATTGGCACCATCCTTAGACGGCAGGAAAAAGACGCGATCGGTGTAGGTTTTATAATCCAGGAACGGGATTCGTCCCTCGCTCAGGTCGTTGGTGTGGTCCTCCATCTCTATCATCAGGTCTGTGAGAGTCACATGAGATGCACACAGTAAACTCTGGTCTTTAACTGATCATTGTTTCCTAATAATCTAAATGCTATGCTGGCTAACATCATAATAAATGAATGTTATACACAATATAATATAAGATTTCAAAGCAGCACGATGAATCACATCAATCCAATCACAGCTTAGAAGCAGTTCACTACATGATGGCCTCTAATGGCTTCTCCGATGTGCTTCACTGACAGCGCGGTGGTTCAGAGCTGCTCTCTGTCGTTACCTGTGAACTCTTTCTTGCAGCGATCTCGCACACTCTCCTCCAGGTTCTCAAGTTGGTGCTTCACCTTCTCGTACTCCCTCTCTGCCTGCTGACTCTTTCTCCTGAGGAGAATAACACAGAACAGGTGCCATCAGAGCAAATGTTCACACAACAGAGACGTGAGTATTGTGATTAACGCAGGTATGATTTCACCACATTTGGTGGCTGCTCCCAATGCAGGTGTGCTATGAATGTTATGTTAATGACCTAAGAAAAGTCATGTGATTAAACAATACTTTTGATGGGTTACATCATGTAACCATAAACAGAAAGCTGCTCTGTCTTGGTTTGTACTGACTCACTCTGCTCTTTGTAACAGAAGCAGCATTAACTATTCCTAATAAGAAATCTAAAGGTAGGGAGTTCTTCCATGAAACAAAATGAACCTCGATATAACAGTAATACAACAGTAAAGTTCTTTCTTAGACTCAGTATTTGTAAATAAATGATTGGTCTGAGAAAATTAAGATGATGTATTGCTTTTTTATGGAGGAAGAGTCTTTTACACTAGCAAAGCAATAAATCTTCATCTTCATGAAATGTAAAACATTTTTTTGTGCCAAAGTTTGGAAAAGTAAGTTGGGTAATTAAGGCATATTTTGCCTTTAAGAGGTAAATACTTTCTGAGATTGGTACTTTCTGATTAATCATGTTTATTAGCTTTAGTAAATTAGTATTTAAAACACTCACAATTCCTTACAAAGAAAAGGCCGACATACCTGTAGCAGTAGACAGAAATAGCGATGATGAGCAGCATGGGCAGAATGACCGAAGGGATGATGATGTAGAGCGACGATTCGCTCTTACTCTCGTACTGCACAGAGCCAACCACCCACTCTCCCTTCCCAAATTTGATCTGCGGATGAGCACAGACAGAGGTAGAATCTTATTATAATGTGCATAGACTCACCACATTTTAACCAGTCACTCTTTTATTCAGGTGGGTGACAGTGGGGAATATTCAACAGAGGAAAATCTGCATAAATGCTCACGATTTAATCTGTTTGAGGAAGCTCTGTATTTTGAGATCCTGCGGCGGTGTTCACCTTGACTAAAGCACGTAAGCTAAAAAAAAAAAAAAAAAACCCCACAAATGACTTTATTTCAAATCTTTACTTTCAGGTACTTAAATGCAGGTATACGTCCTACTGTTAATAGTCGTCTTGTGTTGCTTCCTCTTACAGAGCACAGCCTCAGACAAAACAATGGCTCACTTAAGGGACATTATAAGGGGCTGCATTATTCATCACAGTTGCAGCTTGGCCATAATTAAATAAAATTACAGTGGCCTGTAGCTAGAAGAAAATTGCTCAAGCCGGGAAAAAGAAAGGTGTCAAGCATTACAAATGAAACGCCTGGAGAAATACTAATTCGTGACGCATGCATGCTCGCATCTTCGGCTCTTCATGTCTGGAATTTATTTTTAGGTTTCAAATGCCCATACTAATCTTCATTTGTCTCTCCGTCTTCTTACTTTGCATATACGGCCCTCTGCATATACGACGGCGCGCACTTGTGAATTTTAATGCTTCTCATATTGAAAACGATATCTCTGTCAACCATTATTCCACTCGTACTGTAGGTGGAGGCTTCAGTCTCACTGACTTTGATTTAAATTTAAGCGACAAACACCTGTTTAACTCGAGTGCAATTATTAAATGGTTCTTTCCCATAATGGTCTGTTTTCAAACCCCATGCAAAAAAGAAAAATGGAAATTTCTTTCCACAAAGCACCCGTCTCTCTTATCTCCCAGAACATATTCATATCCCTTTAAAGAAGCACCGCGAGAGCTACAGTAGAAACCAGAGTGTTTTCCTTACATCAGAATTTATTTATTTATAAATCATTTTAGAGCTGCCATAAATTAGAAAACCAAATAGCCTTTGTGTTGTGAGGAGAGCTGAAGTAAATGTTCTGAAACTAGCTTCAACAAAGTTTTCATTAAACCAGTGATTCTTAACCAAACTTGGGCTGCTAGCGCCACCTGAAGGGCTGCAAGGGCCGAGGATGCATAGGTTATCAACAGACGATACCAGAGGTATGTTGTTCATCAGTTGGTTGGTCTCATAGTTTAGCGGTTAACATATATGCCTTACAAGCAGAGAGTGCTGGGCTCGATTCCCAGAGGAACTACATGAGTGGCGCCTCCAAGGGGCAGCCGGTTGCAGCAGATCTGCTGTTAGCACAAGAATCTCCCCAGTGTGGGTTCAAAAAGGTCTTCTTATTATTTATTATTATTATTATACAATGCAGCTTTCAACCATGTGGTGGCAGTAATGCATCAGTCAATTGATTAACAACTTGCAAATATACAGAGAAGAAGATTGTCTCCTTTAGCTCTAGCAAAAAATAAGGATATAATTAATATACGAGTTTTTAAGGTATTTCAAAACACTTTTAACTGACTGTGTGACTCAAATGCCACTTGCAATACCCTATGTGGTAATTTTTCAAATAATGTTAAACCGAGATTCAAAGACAGTGAATAAATTGGAGACTTTAAATCATTTAAATTGAATTGTTTTCCTGCAGTCACTCAAATTAGGAGACTTTTCATTTAGCTTTTTGATTTTTCTTTTCATCATTTCAATGTTTCTGCTTCCACGTTGAAGTGATTTTGATGGACATTTCTCTTTCCTTAAGGATTTGTTTATACCTAAATTTCCACCATCAAATATTCCATCAAAGTACCCATAATCTCATGTGATGTTTTTATAAATAAATAATTTAAATGAAGACTTGCTTTAACTTTCAAGTTGACTAAACTTCAGGGATTAGAAAAACAAATGTCTTTACTGCAATGGCTGAGACATGAAAAATCCATCGAGTCTGTCTGTCTGTCTGTCTGTCTGTGTGTGTGTCTGTCTGTCTGTCTGTGTGTCTGTCTGTGTGTCTGTCTGTCTGTCTGTCTGTCTGTCTGCCTGCCTGTCTGTCTGTCTGTCTGTCTGTCTGCCTGCCTGTCTGTCTGTCTGTCTGTCTGTCTGCCTGCCTGTCTGTCTGTCTGTCTGTCTGTCTGCCTGCCTGTCTGTCTGTCTGTCTGTCTGTCTGTCTGTCTGCCTGCCTGTCTGTCTGTCTGTCTGTCTGTCTGTGTGTGTGTCTGTGTGTCTGTCTGTCTGTCTGTCTGTCTGTCTGCCTGCCTGTCTGTCTGTCTGTCTGTCTGTCTGTCTGCCTGCCTGTCTGTCTGTCTGTCTGTCTGTCTGTGTGTGTGTCTGTCTGTGTGTCTGTCTTTCTGTGTGTCTGTCTGTGTGTCTGTCTGTGCGTCTGTCTGTCTGTCTGTGTGTCTGTCTGTGTGTGTGTCTGTCTGTCTGTCTGTCTGTGTGTGTGTCTGTCTGTCTGTCTGTGTGTCTGTGGTCCTACCATTAGATCCAGCAGCTCAGGTCTGGTGTCCCTGCGTTGCCTCCTGGATCGAGCCCGTGGTGGCGTGGGGGGAGGATCCAGGAACAGCTTGTCATCCTGCAGCGTGTTGACCAGACAGGAAACATCGCCTACGAATGCTTGAGCCTCTTTTGCCGTCATGGCTTTAGAGAATCCCCGTCCCTGCAGGGCCAAAGTGAGCAGCGAGTGAAAAGCTCAGTGGGTGGTGGGATTATAATAATGACAAACAACAAGTTGATTATTATAAACATTGTTTTAAAAAATATTGCTGTTGGTAGGTTTATAAGAGTCGCTCTTCCACTTTGAATAAGAGAACTAATTACGAAGATTAAGATTATAACTATTGTGAGTCATTTTCGGCAGAGCTCCAGTCGATTCTACAGTGTACTGTACACTTGAAATTCCACGGCAGACGACAGACACATTTTCAATTATCTTAGTACAGACTAGGATATAGAAGGAAGTGGAAATATGTGCAGCTAATCTGTAGAAGGGTAATTGAAAAGGCTGCAGTGCCATTTATTATATCTTACAGTAGGTGTGCTCACAAATAAAACTGTAGCCAACTGTATTGCTCACTTTAAAATAATAATTAGCATCTATGATTATATACTTTTCTATATGTGCTAATTTGTAAATTATTTAATAAAAAACTGCATTTCTTAAGCAGTTAATAATAAATATTTTATCTGCATTCCATTGAGAAAAAAAAATCTAAATCTATTTACAACACTGTGAAAGTGTTTCGATGTTTAGTCCCACTTTGTTTTAATTCGTTTATTAATAACCTGACTTACACAATCTCACTTTGTGCAAGTGAACAGATGCTGGAGGAAATGGAAATTGTAGTCAGACTAAATACTGCTGATTGATGCTTGAATTTATTTTGTAAACTGAGAAAATATCTAGATTTTCAGTTTATTTGATGCTTAAAACTAAACACTATATTTGTCACTCTCTCTCTACTATTTAATGTTTTATAAAATGTATGCCTCAACTAGTATCATATTCAAATATATATATATTAAATCAGTAAGTAAAAATGTTGCAACAACTGCGGTTCGGAATTTGCTGACATTTATCCAAACATTAATCCGAATAAAAATCCTGTCGTAAATACGGCTGCCTTTTTCTGCCGTTTGACAGAGCCCGGTTCTGTCAAACGGCACAAACAACCCTGCGTCCTCTGACTTACAGTGACAATGATGATGCTGGTCTCTGTGATGACCTTCTTCGTCAGTTTATTGAAGGAAGGGTCAGGGTGGTAGTCAAAGGGCTTCAGCTCCTTCAACAGGTTATCCAGTTTGACGAAGGTTCTGAAGTGCTGGGTCACAGAGTTGTTCACCGCCGGAGTCTGAAAACGGATGGCGGTGTCGTTCTTGTCGCGAGCGTTCTGTGGGTGTTAGAATGAGATTAAAATGTCATGAGTCCAAACAAACTGCCGAGTAGATAAATAGTGACATGAAACTTTTTAGATCCAACAAAGGCCATTCTCATATAAATATGTATACGCGGACTGTCAGCGTTGGCGACGCAGCCACTTGTATCATTTAAATGCAAAGACATTGTTATGAACGTGAGGCTTTTGGATTTTCAACAGCAGTTCGCTCTCGTCTGTTCACATTAAATACATGAAAATGATGTGGTTTGCATGTTTTCAACATTGAACCACATCATGGAACCTTACCACTACAGGGAATTAAAGACAACAGGATTATGTTACTTAGTGTGATTGTAACTGTAGTTTAATTAATTTTGATATTTATTATTTTCATAATTGAACTGTTTGACAAAGTTCCATTATTGAATTTATTTAAAACAATGTTACAGCAGTTTATTCTACTCAAAGGGAAGTACACCGAATGCTGTATTTATTAATACTTCCTTATATGTACAAAAGCTCTTACTGTGGTGCTTTATGTATTACACAAAGTAGAAGTTCTGTGAAGGAGAGATGTTTAGAAATGTTTAGAAAGATGTTTATGTTTATATGTTGTATTCATTGTGCACGGTATGTGTCCGATTTATTCAATTGAAAATGTTAAAGTGAAAATATGAATTTTCCCCACGTACCGCTAGTGGTACACGTACCACAGTTTGAGAACCACTGACTTAGAACCTTAACAGACATTATTGTAGTCATTATTTTAAAATGAAGGTTGCCACAGTCTAAGGAACATGAACTCACCAAGCCAACAGTCAGAACCACTCACAATATTTAGGTGTACATGAGTGTGTGTGGACTTAAACCAAAGAATAGCTTAAAGCCCTTAAAGCCCGTAACGTGCTGTCTGAAACCCCTGTTTCAGACAGCACGTTACGTCTGCTCTTAGTTTGCTGCTGCCAAGTCTTCGCAAATCTCTCCTGTCCCTGGGTGGCAAAGACTGGGGACTTGGCTGAGACTTAAGTGGTAAAAAAAAAACAAAAAAACAGCACGGACGCATAATCTTCAGCAAACCTTAATGCTGGTATTAAATGTAGCCTTTTAGCTGAAATTGCCTTTGCTTAACGCAGCACAAGGGACGACAGGAACAAGAGGGCTGCTGTGTCCAACTCCTTTAAGTTCCCTGGCAGAGTGTGTCCTTGGCTAACGTTGTACATTTAAAGCGGCGGTGAGAAGAAACATGAGATGGTGACAGGTGTGTTAGGAAAAATGAAGTTGCAATATAAGGTGAATGAAGAAGAAGTGGTGTTTGTTTGGTACGGTCCCAGTTGGTGTGTGTGCTGCATCAATATTGACCGCTTCACACATCACACTTCAAACTGAACCCCTGACCCATGTGTGTGACTGATGGACGGTGGAGCTACTGTCATGAGGAGAGGGAAAAGAATGACAGGACTTAGAGACATTTGAGACCAAAAGGCGAAGAGGCCAAAGAAGAGATGAAGAATGAATAATAAACGCAGACCAACCTCCACCGACGTGGTGTTGTCTCCTTCGACTATCATCACAGCAGTCTGGATCAGATCAAACCCAGAGCCGGTCACCATCACGTTCCTCCCGCCGCTGAAATGTACACAAACATACAGTTCATCAGCCCTCTCCTACGGGGGCGGTCTATATGTGGCTGCAATAACACGGGCCAACAGTGAGCTCTATAAGACAAACAGCACCTGAGGTAACTTCAACCACAGATGAAAACGAAAGACCTCAGCCTGTTAGTTTCTCCACAGTGATGGAGAGAAACATCATCTGTGATGCACAACCTTCAGTTGCACTTTAAACTATCCAGAGTATTTATTGCATCTATATTCAGGGATCATTATGCAATTGTGTGAAACCTAAACCCCCATAAGTTCTCCTCTTGTTAATAAATAATAATGCGTGCAGGGCTACTGTCAAGAACTCCTGGAGGACATTACAAACTTTTAAAAACAACAAAAGTTTATGGCATTAAAATCGTTCACCAAGTTTTCAGGCAGACGGAGAAACATCAGGGTCGCAGGACCAAGCAAAAAAGTTTCATCAATTTTTGAAAAACATTTACAATATTCTGTTATTTGTTAGTTTTGCTCCTTCATCCTACGCAATATTATGCATATTCATACTGCACAGGACATTGTCTCCTATGTCTTTTTAATCTAAACTTAATACCTAATAGATTTTATCGTTTGTTTATGTCTAGACACAATCCCTGAAGTTTTTTCTTAATAGGTAAGAAATCCAATTGTTTAGCTATATTTTTTTAAAACCCTGATTTTTATTCATGATACTTATTTTTATTTTGCTAAATGTTAATGTTAGGACACTGTTCTAAAATGCAAACGTTGGCATGGACTCAGTGTGTCAGAGATGTTGACATTTTTCATTTAGCATCAAACCTATGAAATTCTGTACAGCTTGGAAAGCTTCTAATCACCGCTATGCTTTCTGGGAAATTAGTGTCAAACAAAGTGAAATTTTGGCCCTGGGAAATCACAGTCAAAGTAATTAAAAAATGCTGCTGCTAAAGCTAACTAAGAGGTTGGTGTGTTGGTGACTATAAACACATTTACACTTTTACTTTCTGATCTTTTTGTATCATTCAATCCTGATAAAAATAGTACAGGAAGCTGTCATCAGGTGACAGGCAGGGTACATCCTGTAAATGTCAGCAGTCTATCACAAGGAGACCAAACACACACTCATGTTCACATTTACACTTAAGGTCAGTGTATAGTGTCCTGTGACTGTGATGTCATATTATTCCAGATAACTGTGCACATTTCCTGTATCTGCACTCATTTTAACGGTGATTAAAGACACGACATAAATGTCACAAGCATCACAATCATGTGATCATGTGATCATGTGACTGACCAAACAAAGCTTCCTTTGGGCTGATGGTCCAGTATGATGGGATTTTCCAGGAACTGGAAGGCGTTTGAAATGGCAGCTGTGAAGCTCTTCCCATACTTGACTAAGACAGTGAGGAGGTCGGAGGGCACCTTATCTGCTCGGTACTCCCCCGTCCTGCAGGTGATCTCTGCTCCGAAGTGCTCCCTGCCAAGACAAGGACATAATTCAAGCGCTGGCTGGCTGGAGGAGCTGAGGCCAGATAAGGTCAGCGTGTAGAAAAAGGCAACATGGCAGCATGCTGACAGCTTGTTAAATTCCGGCTTTGCTGCTTCTCCAGCTCGTTATTTTCCTGTTACCTCTGCCTAAAATGTCACCATGTGCTGATTTTGACAGAACATTCATGGTCACAACAGCCAAGGCAAATGGTAAAGGTATTAAAAAAAAAAAAAAAGAAACCGCTGTTTGTGCACACAAGTTAAGGTCATTTCCATTTTATAATATGGAAATGTATTAAACACATTACGGCCTCACAGGAGGATTTACACAGAATACTTCTGCCTGAATGCCAAGTAGTTAAGTCCCTGAATCGTAACACAATTGTTCACAGTCTGGTAATTACTGAGTAAGGAAATCCTTACACAATGCAGGCCACTCCTCCGACGGCGACCTGGACGTCCTCTTTACTGCCGGTGTCCAGAAATCGCCCTTTTATTGTAATGAGGGTCCCTCCAGCTTTGGGACCTTTACCAGGCATCACCTCTTCAGGGATCGGGTTCTGCAACGAGGACGAGTGTCATCAAGTGGAGAATGAGTTCATTTGACCAGTAAATAAACATAAGCTTTCAGCTTTTGTTTGTTTGTTTGTTTGTTTGTTTGTTTGTTTGTTTGTTTGTTTGTTTGTTTGTTTGTTTGTTTGTTTGTTTGTTTGTTTGTTTGTTTGTTTGTTTGTTTGTTTGTTTGTTTGTTTGTTTGTTTGTTTGTTTGTTTGTTTGTTTGTTTGTTTGTTTGTTTGTTTGTTTGTTTGTTTGTTTGTTTGTTTGTTTGTTTGTTTGTTTGTTTGTTTGTTTGTTTGTTTGTTTGTTTGTTTATCTCTATACCATCCATTTTTAAGCTGAACGTGTACCTACGAATCTGATGTAATTGGAAATTAACCCCAATAAGATGCTGCATTACAGCTAAGAAAAGAATGTCGGTGCATTCCTCTTGGAGCAGAGTCTGTGCAGCAGCCCTCGCTCTTTATTCTCTAATACTTTAACAGGCTGCAGCAGAGCTATTTAACTGGCTTTTCATAACAACGCCTCCAATAAAGCTTCCCACCGGGGAGCGCTCTGGCTAAATGTTTGCTCAGCAAATTGAGGCACATGTGGCGTTTGTAGTAGTATGTGCATGTGCACACACACACGCACGCAGACACAATTTTTTCTGCTGTCTGTACACACATTTTCAGACAAATTTGCCTAAGATGTAGAGTCAGGAAAATGAGAGTTTGTTCAAATTTTATACATAGAATAATAGAATCTAGTGCATGTATAACTGGCCTTAATTAATAGTTAAATTAGTTTGTTCCAAGTGAATTGATGTGTGTGTGTGTGTGTGTGTCTTACCCTGTAGGTGAAGAACATGGAGGAGGTTCCTATCTTCCCGCCCTCCACCTCCACCTCCACCTGACCCCAGTGTTCGCTCAGATGATCGACTGGTCTGATCTCACACACCACACTAGATGTGACAAAAAAAAAAAAAGTTACATTTTATTTTCATCATGAATTTCACATAAAACCAAACCTAGTTAAAGCCAGCTGGTTTGAATTGTTTGTCATGGATGCGTCAGATCTTTTATTTATTTTCTTTCAGTCGTTCGCTCGCAGATGTCGGGGTCCGTAGGGTGGTCGAACAATGCCTTGGAAAATTATTGACCGTGCATCAATATTCACACGTGTCAGCTTTTTGTGTGGCGTATATTTGATCAGAATCTCAGAAGCGTGAGAAGTGACTGCGAATCAAAACTCATCTGTGACGGTCTGACGTGGATCTTTGTAAACAAAGATCCATGTCAGACCGAGTGCATATAAATCACCCACTGTCAAAATGGCATCTTCATCAGACTTCATGTCTCGTCTTCACTATGAGACAAAAGATGGATAAACTGAAAACAGTTCTTTAACAGATCTATGGAATCATTAGCTCTCATTTCAACAGCATTAATTATTATTCAGTGTTAAATTCATGAACATCTTTCAAGCAGAATTAATATGTTGCTAAAAAAATCAGTGCTATATTTTCAGTCCAAAACTGAAGACTCTCAGGTAGCTGTGGAGCCAAAAACATGTTTCTGTCAATCAACAGTCAAATAACTGCCAAGAGACAGGATTTAAAAAACTAATTTGAACTCCCAGGGAGCAGGAAGTTTGTATATTGAAGTAATTAAATCTGAATCATGAACTACGGGTATAGGAAAAGCTATAAAAACTACACACACACACACACACACACACACACACACACACATATATATATATATATTTACATATTTAGTCTGATGTCTACACTTTATCACCTCTAGGTAGATCCGGTAGACTTCTAACTACCTCTTCTAGCAAACACAGGACTATTTTTGTATTTTTGTATTTTAAACATCAGAAAATTAAACCTGTTTCCAGTCTTCCTCAGCATCGATGAAGTTGAGCAGCTCAGTTCTGTTTATTAATCCAACAGGGATGAAATAGAAACAACTCTAAATCGTTGAAAGATGAAACACAATCAATAACAGCAGGTTTGATTGTCAGAGAGTGGGATCCATCACCGCAGGATTAATCTTCATGATTTAATGTGGAAAGGAGAAGTGCTGACTCGCCCGATATATCAACATTTGTAATATCTGACATTACAGACACACACATTACCACAGTGGATATACAGTACTGAGCTGGTATGGGTTACATACTGTACTGTCTCCCCCTGTTCTTGTGCACTAACTGTACTTTTCCTTTTCCATCACACAGACATGAACTTCTGCTCTGACACAGACTGTTCTTCTCTGTGCGGCTCGATAATAACGGGCTGTTTTATATTTGTCTTTCCTCGGTTCCACTCGCTGACGTCTACGATGCAGTGTCACTACTCGGCTGCAACATCAAAGTTCAGTAAAAATAAAAAGTGTGTGTTTTCATGCAGATAACTGTAACAAATGTTTCAAAAACATTTTAAAAATCCAAATTTACCGTACCTCCTACATTTGCATTATTTATCGGCACAGACCATTTTCTGCCTATAACCAGATTCCCATCGCGCAGGAAGCAAACATTTCGCCCGCGCACTGCTTAGTCGGTTTTGTTTGAACAGCCTTGAACATCCAAATACAAAATGTATTAAAACTGGTGGTGTAAATACAGGCTGTGGTCTGTGTCAACGTGTAATTATTATTTTGGCTGCACAAGTTAAAGGACATGAGAGGAAGTAGATGTCCATTATATTTAAATGTGTTCGACCTCCAAACTGTGATGGTTTTATATCATACGTAAAGAGCTGTAAATGCATCAACCTTAATTACTGTAACAGACTTTAAGATAAAAATGTCAAAGACAATTTGTTCAACAAAATGTAATATTACAAAGGTCAAATACAGCAACAGTTTCCTTCCCATTCTCTTCTTTTTAATCATATGAAGAGGGTGAAGTGTCTAAGGATGTTTAATTTTTTTTTCAATTTGTATTATATGTGTGTATGTATGTTTTTCCTTACCCTTATATATGTAATACAATCTGTGTTTCCAGAAATGTGCATTTGATTTATCATCAATGTTTTTTCTACTTCACCTTTGAGATAAAATTACAAGTAAATTCATTTTTTCTAGTCCTATTTTAAGAGCACAGTGTTTCTACCTGTGACTTCAGATCAATACAGTTACATAATGAGCCCATTAAAACATTTCTCCCCTGTGACCCCCCCCCCCAAACACACACACACACACACACCACCTCACATCTCCTCCAGGAGGAGGAGAAAACACTCCTCACCCATGATCAGAATCCCAACTTTAGGAACAGATAAAAAGGCAGCGCCTCACACTGATATGGATATTTCCATGAAGCTTTATGAATACTACCTTGTGGAGACAGAGTACTTCTCCTCCTGATGGATACAGGGCTGTTTGGCCACGGTGATGCTTTTAATGTCTTCCCTGTTGATGCCAAGGTTGGTGCCGCGGATGGTGATGGAGATGCCGCCCAGCAGGGGGCCGAAACGTGGAATGATCTAAAAGCAGTTACACAATTAGCACATTTACACGCACAGTTAAGTCCACGGCTGCAGCTGAGGCGGGCTGTTTAATTGGACAACTGTCCTTGTCTTAGTGCGCTAGCACAGGAGGGGGACGAGTTTATTGACTAAAGTACGTCCAACACTGTAAAAGTAGGTCGCAGTACATTTGTCTTTAGGTCATAAAACAGACAACTTTGCAGATTTTCTGTTTTCCCAGTGAAGAATATGTCATGTCTTTAAAAAATAACTGAGACTGAACTAGCATTAGCCTCGGTGAGGGTCACATGTTTTTATCATCGTGGATGACCTGCAGCTGGTGTCACATTTTTACGTAGGTGCGGATTACATTATGAATGATTTTCAGGTTTAAATGACATCACTCACTCACAGAAAAGTCCAGTGAAGGATGTCTGACTTGACTTTTCAACAAGGTAGCATCTCATACTGAGAACAGCAGCCCAGTACTACAGTACTACTACATACTGAAATGTGCAGTAAAATTATGCACAACCGTGACCTCTGTGACAATGATACCAAAACACCATCACTTATTGATTTTTGTCAATGACAACGAGGCCTCGACAATTAACTGAGAAGACGATGGATCGATCCGATCTAAACGTGTCGTAGATCAACTCACAGTTTCAAGGAGAAACAGAGAAACATAGTTGTTTCAGACACTCCAGTCCAAGCACCAAGGTCGACGCTCTCTCAGTAAAATACTGTAGAAGAGAGCAGAGTAACTACTCACATCGGTGATCTGGGGTTCCGGACACTCGATGTTGTACGGGTCGTCCAGGCCTTGTGTGTTGCACAGCTTCTCGTACACACACGCCTTCTGTGTGGGGCACCACATGCAGCTGTACTTGGGGTCTGCATTTTTACACAGACTGCAGTCCTCTCTCCCCACGGAGCAGTTATACAGAGTGACTGTTCAGTCAAGCAAGAAAAAAAAGAGAGAAAAAAAGTTTTATGTCTATGTATTTGTTACTTAAAATAAAAGCCTTAAAACTACTGCTGAGTCGTTAGTATTAAATCAATTTGTTTGTTTTTTTTTTGATAAAACAACAACTCTGTATATTTTATATCATTTTAAAAAAAATCTTCTCCACACTCTCCACTGACGCCCACTACTGGGACCAAACCAACTGTGAAAATGCCTGTAATACAGATGACTATCTCATTACTTTGATTTTAATTCCCATCATCCCCTTGATATTCAGCCTGGAGTGATATGATTATACAGTCTTTTCAATTCAGATTTTTTACTTTCATTTTTAGATCAGATGGATCATCCAGGATGTCTGATTCCAGTCCCCTCGCAGGGACTCGCGGGCTACACTCCAGGCATTATAAATGAGATCTCCGCATTCAAATGTGGGAGCGTACCATTCAGCATGCTGTCCATCTTCTTTCCTGACTCCTTGTCCTTCACATAGAATAGAACGCTGGTCTCGGGCGATTTATCGTAGGAAAACTAAAAAGGTAAAAAAACAAAAAAACAAAAGAGTGGAAATGTAATCATTAATACAGGATGAGGTGATTAATGGTAGTTAAGCTTTAATCAGCAAACAATGTGAATTGCTGCTCCCCAACGCCAGGGAGGAAATGAAAAGAGGTGGGGAAAAAATTACACTCAGCCTGGCAGATTTTCAACTGGAGAAATCAATGTTGGGAAAAAAACACACAGCTGGGGGCGCTACGCTGTTTGAGCTTCCCATACCAAGGGATGGGTGATTTTTAAAATACCTCTAGTGAGGGACCATTAGAGGGAGCTACAGAATACAGTTAAAAGGCAGATCCAGAGGCGATGAACGATTGTTTAACTGTAGAACAGTGGTTCTCAAACTGTGGTGCGCGTACCACCAGTGGTACGTCAGCACTCTCTAGTGGTAGGCGGGGAAAATTCATATTTTCATTTCATTTACATTTTCATAAATCTGAACCATACCGTGCACAATTAATACAACATTTGAACATAAACATCTTTCTAACCATTTATAGACATCTCTCCTGTGGTGGAAGCTAACAGGGAAGGCCTCTGCTGCTGTATTCTAATGTTGGTCATCATGGTGGTACTCAGAGAGATCAGTGTTTTCTCAGGTGGTACAGAGGAGAAAACGTTCAAGAACCACTGATGTAGAAGAATCTGGACCAGGACAGGTTCTGTTTACATTTTATATTCATATCAACTGACCTATTAGGATTTTTTAAAACACAGATTCATATACATATACTCACATTGTAGCCGCTGAAGGTGTAGAACAGCGCGTTCTCGAAGCTGACCTCTTCCTCCACATTTTTCATCAGCTCTGTGCCGATTGTGAAAGTGCGATCCTAAAAGCCCCGCCCCCAAAAAACACCATAGTGTTTAATATGACTGAAAAAAACAAATGTCATGTAACTTTAAGATTCTATGATGACAGAACCAGACCATCCAAAGGTTTGGTGAGGTAATCTTTCCGACCTGGTTCAATCATATGTTTTTACACGCCCTGATCATGCAGCCTACTACAAGTGTCATCTGCTCAAAAAACAGCTAATTATAGAAGTGAGGATTCTCTCAGAACGGATCCAGATTAGAATGTGAATTGTGTTTCTGTGTGTAAGCTGCTTTGTCTCCTGAGAAGACTGGTAACTTGTAATGACAACGTTTTTCATGACCGTGAATTATTTTCTCGCTTTTGCAAATACATATTCTTAGCACATGAAATCGCCAAACTGCCCTCGGCTCGGGAACCTTTTTGTAAGACTTCAGTCTCTCTGACACTTCGGCTTTACCTTGTAGAGTTCCAGATTTATCCCCTCGAAGCTGATGTGAGTCTTGTAGCCCACAGGTATCAGCACGGGATCTGGATTCTCAAACTGAGGACACTTGGCTCCCTGAAAAGACATCAGAAAAACTCAGACGCTCCCGCGGCTCAGTCGCGTAAATTTGAAATGTACCAACCAGTTAGCTCATATCCTCATCTGCGGAAACAGATAAGAGTATCGCTGCTACATCTGCTGAGCTGGAAATTGATATTCACCGCTCTACAACATTTGTCACACAAGATGCTGGCGACTGATAGCGGGCGTTAAGATGTTATTAATTTTAGGGATATGTTTGGATGCATCTCTTACTGAACTGTGTTATGCACATGCTAATAGGAAAAAAAGAAAGTCTGGAAACTTTCGATGTATGTGACCTTCACACTTACATGCCGTTGCTTGATGATGTTTGGTCCCATCACGCTGTCGTCCATGTCACTGCACGTGTGGTCATGAACGTTCCACTGGCAGCCCCACGGACTGGCTACACACGCCACACAGCTGAAAAAAAAAGCCCAATTTTATTACAGAGCTATGAGCAATAAAAAAAAGGGGGGACACTTCCCTCACACACTAATCGTCAGCAGCATTTGACACACACACACACACACACACACACACACACACAAGGGAAAGTCCAAAACATGCAAACTCATCAAAGAGTGTCCAGCACAAAACAAATCCATGCTGCTGACAACAAAATAGATCTCGGCGACTTGGCATAAGCAAAACTCGTTCATCACGCCTTCCTCGGCTTAGAAGAAATGAAGGGGTGAAAAAAAAACACACGGAAAAACGGCGAAGATCGACTTTCAGCTTTTTGATTAATGAAAAGGAAACTGAGGCAATTTCCTGAGCGAGGTAATAAAAAGAGGGGGGAGAGAAAATGCAAGAGGTGCATTCAAAACTACACCATGCATCACAATTTACCAACGCAGCCTTGATCTCTCATCTGTTCATGCAAGGTGATACATTTACGTCAGAGGTGTCAGTCGGTGCTGTGTTCAGTGTCACTGTGTATTTTCAGCGAGTGACGGAGCAGAACCGAGTCTGACTCGACTGAGAACCTTCTGGAATCACGGTTGGCATCACAGTGACTGACAGAGCAATATTCAGACCCTGGAAAACAGCCTGATCATAACAGCGCGGGCGCACGCTGTGGATGGAGTACTTCTACATGAGTCGATGTGTAACGGGACCACAAGAGGAGAAAGGCTGCAGTTGTTGTTACGTACTTTTAATTTGATGGAATGAATGCGGAACAAATTAAAGAAATATTTTAACTTGGAGCCTGTAGATGACAAGAACATACATGGAGCCCACGGGGAGGTCCACGGGCCCTAGGTTTATATTAAAGGTGCACTGCTGTGTTTTAATATTTGGTCTAGTTTAGATTCAGATGTCTGGGAAGTGTGCTTTTTTTACTCTGTATATTAGATTAAAATCTTTCAGTGGTGGAACTCTCAGAATTTCCAGAACAAATTTGAATCTTAAGAAGGAAAAAAGGAAGAAGAAGAAGAAGAAGGAAAATAAAAAGTGTTGCATAACACATGAAAAAATGTTGGAGGTAGAATTTCTTTTTCCACAGAGGGAAATGAGGGAGAGAAGAGAAAAGGTTGAACTCACGGCGTGTTTTCAGACTTCTTCACTGTGGCAGCACAGTTGTAGAACTTGTACTCCTGCGTGGCCAGCTCCACCGTGCCATTGACGAACACGCTAACAGCCACAGCCACGAAGTCTGAGGGCACGACAGAAGGTCGATTATTAGGAAACAAAAAACTTAAGGTCATCAAGACAAGATAAAATAATGAAGTTTCGTGGTGTGACACAAAAGACCACATCGAAAAATGTTATGATCAAACATGACAATGACAGCTGCCGTTCAATGGCCGCAGTCAGACAACAAACAAACAAACAAACGTGTGAGTGAGTCTTCTCTCAGCATTAAGTACAAAGTAAACCAGTTCACTCAGGACCCTGCTGAGATGAAGCAGAAAGACACTTTGGTAATGCCCTTGTTTTGCTGACTCTGCATTTTTCTTTTCACACTGAGCGCAAATAAAGCCAGAGAAACACTTCCCCTCGGGTGTGATCCTGGTTATCATCGCCAAAATTATACTTAGAGGTGCAACGTCAAATGTCAGCGCTCGACTTGTTACGACTGGTTTCCGTTTCTACCACTGCCTTTAGCGGTGAAAAAACATATCGTTTTTAAAACTTTTAGCAGGTAAATGACAGATGTAAAGCACCTCAACTGTTAAAAAAAATATTTTTCACAATCTTTTTAGAGTATATATATTAATATATTATAAAGAATATATCATATTCGTCAGGTACAAACTGTAGATCACAGTATAATAACATACTGTAGCTCAGTGTGTAGTGGAGCTGTCTCACATCCAGAGGGATGTGTGTTCAATTCAGGACTGAAAAAGTGGATGCCCCAGTTCACTATTCTGTAGACTTCCTGTCGCTCACACAGGGTCAGCGCATCTGTTTGAAGTTCACATGAGTCATACCTTGACCCTCAGGTGTTTGTGGTATCTGTGAGGGTTGGGGCAGACTGCAGGAGACCTGACCAGAGTCCACCATGGTTCCTTCACTTTTGAATGACTTGATGATGCACTGCAGACGGTCGGAGCCTCCGATGGGAGGAAGTGAGGGGATGTTTATCCTCACCTAAAACAAATAAAAAAGTTTGAACATTAACAGGAAAGGTTCGTGGGCTTTTTGCTGCACAAGGCCACAGAGACAAGAAGAACGGCTTGATTTTGTTTCTATCAGACATTAAATGAAATAACTGGCTGTTATGAACACTGACAGGAAAAGAAAGTGAACTGAGCCCTTTTTAAAGAGCGGTGAAAGACTGAGAACAAAAACAGAGAGGTCTGATGAAAGAAACATGAGCAGGTCTGAAACCAAAGGACTGAGAAATAAAAAACAACTTCATAAAGAAAATGCTAAAGGAAAGCTCTCCATCTTCAGGGTGTGAACACAATCATCCAGGTCAGGTATAATAAGCAGAGATGCAATTCTCTCCCAGGGATCAATACACAGCAGTGGAAAAAAAATGGAGGTCAAGTCTTTGAATCACAATGGAAACGGTTTATTTCTGAGACTGTGCATGTAGGTATGAGTCTCAGGTCAGCAAGGTTGTCTGGTGCAAGATGAGAAATAGAAAATGAAAAGACAGAAAGGTGCTGAGAGAAAAGGGAAAATGTACAGATGTATAGATGAGAGACACAGAGAGAGAGATCTTTTTTGTACCTTCTGAGTCTTTTTACAGGAGAGGTTTGGGGGATAGAAGGAGACGATCTGGACACACTGGTTCTTGGGGCTCCACAGCCAGCCATTCTTCTCCTCTGCCCGTCGGCACTCGGACCTCCTGGTGCACCTTCAGAGCACAGATCAACACCTCCCATCAGCCCCTAATGCTTTGAAAGCCCCATAAGGCTTCCACAGTGTCTCAGAAAACTAGGCCTGTGGACTCTGGTGGTTTTAAATATGCCGTGGTAGGAAGGAAACAGAGCAGCTTACGACTGGAAACACAGTTGTAAATCACAACAATAATTGTCAGGTTTAACCAGGGCTGTCAAAAAATGTTTTTTTTTATATCTGATTGATCACAGCGTAGCTATTAATCACAACCAATTATGATTATAATTAGTCATTAATTCAGCATGTGACCCACCCTCGCCTGATGACTGCCCACTGTGACCCCAAAAAGGATGAATCCATGGGAGATGAAGTCTGAAAAGCACCTCGTCATCAAACCAAATCTGTTTGAAATTTCTCGGTTTTAACCCAGATTTATGGAGCACCAGTGTTTTACGCCCCCCCCTCCCGTTTCTGATCACATCTCAATAAAATACACTTCACCTTTCTTCCCTCCAGACCCTGATAAATATAGGCTGATGAGAGTAAATTGCACTGTCTGCCGTCTCAGCATGAGGCTGACAAACAGCTTTAATTCCTCACGGCTGCACGAACGACAAGAGACGGAATATAAACCGGAGGGTTCTAAAAGTCCCCGCCATAAACCACGCAACGAATATCCTGCTGCGTCTTACAGATGGAGCGGTACGTGTGGTTGTACGTTCGCGCATGCCTAAGTTTGTGTATGATTGTGTGTGTGTGTGTATGTGTGTGTTCCCTCACCTGCCCTCTAAGACACACCAGCCACAGTACGGATCCCTCTGACTCACACACGACTGACAGTCTTTGTGCTGGAGGCAGGTCTGCACTGGAACCCTAATGATCTAGAACAAGGCAGAAATAAAAAAATCTGATTAAAAGCCACACGTTAGAGAGAAATGTATCAAATATTTATATTTAAAACTTAAAGATGTTTACTTAGAAGCTTTAGAGCACAGTTACAGTAAATACAGAAGTAAATTACAGTAAAATACAGAAGCTAATCTTTACACTTGACAGGCAGATCCAAAGTCTTGGTTAGGTAGATTTTTTTTAAAAAAAATTTAATTTATGACTTTAATGTTATGTTTGACTAAATTTAATTTCCTATCATCTCTGTAAATTATGTCCTAGTACAGTGGTTCTCAAACTTTTTCTACTCAGTACCACCTGAGAAACACTGACCTCTGAGTACCACCATGATGACCAACATTCCCTGTTAGCGTCCACCACAGGAGAGATGTTTAGAGATGTTCATAAAGATGTTTACGTTTAAATGTTGTATTAATTGTGCATGGTATGTTCCAGATTTATTCAGTTGAAAATGTAAATGTGAAAATATGAATTTTCCCCACGAACCACTAGAGAGCACTCCTGTACCACTGGTGCTACGTGTACCACAGTTTGAGAACCACTGTCCTAGAATAACTGTTATTTGCTAACACTTTGCTATTTTGTGTATATACGGTTTTGGAAGATGTGATTTTTGCAAGTGCTAAATGAAATTCCTAGAAGTTTCCCTTCAGTTTTTTTCCACATCTGTTCTGAGTAAAGAGACAGACTTCAATGTTTTAATGAACTTGAACCAAAATGTGAGTCTCGCACTTCACATCATCACCAATTTAAACTTTGCAATCCCCCTCCGTGTAGTACCAGAGGAGCACTTTGCTGTATTCTTGGGGTTTAAGGTGAATAATTTCCAACTTTTTCCGTAACTTAGTAGAGAACAGATGATCAGACGTTCACACAGTGCGACCTGCCAGGTGCATCTGAGAAGACAGCACGCAGGGTTTGAACTTTTCTCTCACACCATCATGGCCTGTTCCAGACTTTGAAATCAACACCCACCTGCTCAAACTGTTTCCCGTTTTAAATAGACTCACATATTAATTCTCTCTCTCTCTCTCTCTCTCTCACACACACACACACACACACACACACACTAATCAGTTTTAATAAGGGAGGTATTTCTAATTCCACAGTGAAAGAGACAGTTCTACATTTTAAGCACTGATACACTGATAAAAATACACAAAGAAAAGTTGGTCCACGAATTTTAAAACTTGTACTTAAAACAAATACTTTGATACATTTTCAAAAACCAAACCCAGATCATGGTTCAGCTGTTTCTCCCTTTTATACTGAGTGAATGAACAATATAAAGATACTATTGTTGGATTCTCTTACTGTTTCACATATAAACAGAGACATCAAGACTGCAGTAAAATGAACAAATAATCACGCCCAAGAAATTGTGTTCCGCATCAACTAAAACTTTTCCATGGTCTTCAACGCATCTGAGACAAATTTGTTCAGAGGGAAATAAACAAAAAAACAAAACAACTTTTATACTGATTTCTCTTTCAAAGACACGTTCTAAAAGAACATTTTCCACAAGGAATCTGTGCTGCCCACAGTCAATGCCTCGCCAGCTCTGAGCCATCATAGTAGTATTATACTTTGTAAAGCAAGACCCAAAGGTCATTTCCATTCAGAGATGGATTTTTACACTAAATCATCGCACATAGAATTTTTTTTTTAATACAACACTATTATTGTTGAACGTGATGGGCCTTGACTGATGATCCATCCTTGTCTTAAAAAACATACTTTAGGTGGATGCACCATTTAAACCTGTTCATGGATAGTATGTTATTAATAAAATCGACATCCATACAACATGTTTCAGAAAAACTTTTGTTATTATCCCTATTCAACAAACACAGCTCCATACGAAGACTGGGATTGGACGGTAACTCTCAACGTACATCAAAATGTAGTTCCCCAGTCATCATTGTATACATTTGTAGTATTTAGTTAGAGTTGAGCTTTAAGTTTGGACAGAGTAAGGCTTAAAATAATGCAGTGCTCTATTTGGTACTTCATAAAATGTGATATACTTTTACCTTTTTCTCAGTGGTGACATAAAGGTGACTGGGGTCAAAGAAAAGGTTTTTGTTGACCTTCTCTCCCATGGTGTCACCTGGAGTCTTGCTGTACACGTACGACTCTGTGGTCAGGTGTACCTGGGAAAAAACAGAATATAAGATATGAGGTTCTGGGGAAGAAAAAAAAAAGTCAACTAAGCAACACCTCACCTTAAACACCTCCCCCTGGTTGTTCCCCAAGAAGGCAATGGTGTGATCATTCTCCACAGCCACGGCCACAGCGGTCAGGAGGCCTGTCTTGGTCAGCACTTCATTTGCCTTCAGGGCGAATCGAGGCTTGCTGGCCAGTGGGGACGGCAGAAAGTCTGCACCACATTTATAGTTTTCCAATGTATCCTTCTGCAAAGATAACAAAAAAGTAAGGGATAAAAGATGGATTGCACACTGTGCACTTTAATTAACAACAATAGAAGGGGATATATGTGGGAATCAAACTTTTGGCAGCATTGTGGGTGTTCTGATAAATAGGCTGCATAAAAGGGGGTCAGCCTTTTTTCCAGCTGAGAAACTCCAACCTTAGAGAGAGACACTCCAGGTTATTTTCCTGGATGCTTCTCAAATTTACAATTTTCTTAAATGTATACATTTGAAGGCAGAGAAAAACTTCTCTGTGAGTCGTTCTATCAAATTAAAATCTTCATGTGATTGCACATGACCTAACAACGTGCACCAACCTGTCTGATGACAGATGGAATTCTGCTCAACAGGCAGGGGACCAGACCATTACTGGAGCATGAGCTCACTGATTGGTCTCGTTCCCAGGCTAAGGGCCAAACACTCCAAAGGGCCAGATTTAGCCCAGGGGATGCCTATTATTCCTACCATTTCAAGGCTTCCAGACATTTCTATATACTGTGTACTGGATGAGTTCAGTAAAATTGGAACAAAAGCTATTGAAGGGGGGAAAAATGTGTCGAGTAGAATGTTTATAGAGAGCAGTGTAAATCATGGAACACTGGAACGGTAAAAATAAACTCCCATTCTCTCAAACCTGAATTTGACACAGACAAATAACTTACTGAAATTTTTGAGGCGCAGAACTCATCTGTTTTGGACGAGTACGGAATGTCCACGGCAGGAAATCCAGAAATCTTTCCAAAATCACTGTAGCAGGCACTGATGATATCCACCAGCCGCTCATTGATGGAGTTGAGCGGATACATGCAGAGCGCCGAGTGGTTGTCGTCATCGTCCGCAGTCGCCACCATGAACAGAATTTTATTCCAGGTGTTGACATTTCCATATGCACCTGTTGCCGTCATGACACGCGCCAGCTCCTTTCCTGGGGAGGCCACATGGGCGGCCTGGACTTTATTGAATCTGTTATTGGGGCCACAGTTTAGCTGGAGCTCTGTGTGGGAGTAGTAGTGGGGGTCATCTTCACAAAGACGGGACACAAAAGTCAAATTTTTGTTGTCTGTACCGTCCAGCGTTCGTGAAAAAAGGAAATAAACGAAGCCGTCCTCTTTGAAGGCATGACGGAAATCGTGCAGGTACTTGGGAACAAACGGTGTTGTCTGCACCGTGGAGGCCTCGATGATGCTCTCAAAAACAACCCAATCCCCGGAGTCCTGAAGGATTCGCGTGCTGATGAGCTTTGTGCTGTCCAGGCTTCCGTAGCCCTTGCCCACTACAAAGACACTGAAGTTGTTTGCGTCTTTTGTGAAGGTGGACATGACGCCCACCACGTTCACATTGTCCTCTATGCTGGCCACGTAAGTCCTCTCTCCTTTACTGTCACTGTAATACACCTGCTGCTCCACGTTGGTCAGGTTGAGAAGGGAGCAGATGCCTCGGTAGCGGCTTCCGCAAACGATGAGGGAACCGTTGGACGAGTGGACCAGCAGAAGCTTGTTGAGGTTGGGCATAAGCTTCGTGTCCTGACAGGCCGAAGCTGGAGGCGTACACGTCCGCGCGTCCTCCTTGGGGCCCGTCTCAGCACGTGCCTCCAGGCGAAGCAACGGCCCCAGTTGGTAAACGGCATTGACCGCTCCCAGGTAGATGCGACCGGTCTGGGGGTCCTGGACCACGTTGTTGATCAGAGTGTCTGTGGTGAACTCCAGGATGGGGATGTCGCTGCTCTCCTGGGCTCGTGAGATGGACTGGCAGAAAACAATGAGGAGAAGGGAGACCCAGCGGGCCATCTCTGCAGGAAACAGAACAGGAGATAGGAGTTTTATCACCAAGGAAGGAAATGCACCTATAGAGCTGTATATGCAGAAAATAAATGTGTATAAAAGACAGTCTAATGATTCTAATTATAATGCCTGAATCGTTCCCTCCACAGAGGTTTAGCGTTTTTAAGGTTAATTAGTGGGTCGTCTGGATGGACTGGGTAGAGGAAACTGGACTGGACTGGACTGGACTGGACTGGTTCTTCGTTGTATTAACATTAGAAGGACTTCTATTTTGAGACTTTTTTTTCCCGAGAAAGGAAAAGGTTTCACTTAATTTACAAAACTCTTCCTGAATACATCAGCTGAATCTCATCAAGTCTCCAATTTTGGTACCATTTTGAGATATTCATCTGATTTGTTAGCATTCATTTCAATTATCTGAAAGAGAATTTGATTATGTCGGTTACTTCCTCTTCAGAGAGAAAGTATCTTGGGTAATCTGCCGGATGGATCTTTAACAGATGTTAAAAAGTCTGTTTGTGTTACTCTTTTCTATATAAATTGGGTCAGCTGACCTTTCAAATACCCACAAAACCCATGAGAACCCATATTAAAAATAGATTTATGAGAGTAGACTCTAACTTCTAAAAGCCAACGAAGAACGCTGCGGACGTTTGTGTTTGTTCACCGGCTCTGTAAAGGTCACATTTTTTCAATTTCATAATTTAATATCAGGACTAACCACCTGTTAAAGAATTAAACCTTCTCTCAGAGAGATCTGAAACCACACCACAATAAAAGACCGTTTAAAATATTGGCCTCAGTCCAACCTCATTTGCTTTTCTCTTTTTCCCTCGTACAACCTTTAAGTGAGGTGCGCCGTGTCGGAGGTAATGTGATCTCACAGTATGTCCTAAAAAATACGGCATGTAGCTGCGAAGAGAACGTGTCAGCGGAGCCGCTCGCTGCTGTTTGCCCACGCTGTGGTAAATATGGAGCTGCAGGTGTCTTTGTAGCGCCTCTTGCCCACACGGCAAATGTGTGGTTACGATTACACGCGGTTTTAGCTTGAAACCAATCTGGTTTCACCTTGTCAGTCAAGTCACAGGCTTGAACCGACGCCTGGAGAAACTTCTGGGAGGTCACACTGTTTAGACTTTAGAAGTGAGGCACCCTATCAAACAATTTTACTCTTGCTTTTCTACAAATTTCATTTGACATATGTACACAAACTGTTTAGCTTTGTTTTATACACAGCCTTAAATTTCATGAATGTCTGGAAATTACAAGGATGTGTGAGCTCAAGAGGCAGAACCACAAACAAAACGACAAAAAAAAAAAAAAGTCACAGAGTCGTGATACAACCACACACAAAGACAGGTGGATTATGTCAGGTTTGGTTTTTTATGAGAAAAAAAAAAAATTAAACTTGACGCCCAATCACCCACTGTGACAAAGTAACTTAGTGCTGTAATCTTCAATAAAAGAACAACTGTCCCCAGGCGCTCATTTAGATTTCAGAAAAACCTTCTAACATGCGTGACTTCAAAGAGTTCCTCTTCCATTCAAGTAGATCATATAACCAGGCCCCAAACAGAAAAATAAAGTGTCACACAAATTTCCCTCAGATGCCTCACAGTGGGTCAGTGTAAACAAAATTCTCAGCATAATTCAAAGGATTTTGTTCTCTCCCAGGATGTCTCCCTCTGTCGCTCCATCTCTTTTCATCCCTTTCTCATTGGTTTAATCCTTAAGGCTAGAATTAAAGAGGCTTCAAAGAACTGAGGAGAGAGGCAGACGTGTGTGTGTGGGAGAGGGGCGTGGGGGGTGACACAGGTGGGATGAGGCCTACTTCTTCCCCCCTGGGCTAGCCCACTTCTTCTTCATGGCCATGGTCTATTAGCTGCTGTGAAAGAACATGACAACTGGGTATACCGACATGCGGTTCTTCTGACTAAACAAAAAGCTGCTAAATTTAGAGAACGTGCGATGCTCCAGCCTGTGGTTAATGAAGCCTCCACTAGCCTGGGATAAATAATAATGAAACACATCATGCGCTAATGAAGCTGGCAAATGTGAAAGACGTGTGATTGACGTTTGCTGAATTACAACAGCTTGATTGTCATGCCTGAGGCCAAATCCTGACTGCGTGCCCAGCAGCTCTGCCAGGATTCATTGATTAGCTGATTGTAAAATACGAACCAACTAAATGACATTAGCTCCAGAGGTGTGGACTACGTTATTGTCAAAAACAAACATTCATTGTTTCATTTTTTTTTAACTGAGTTAAACAGCAACATAAAAGATTTACTCACATAGATTTTATCCACGTAACTAAGGTTTATTTGAGGATAAATGTGGAGGATTATATGTAATATTATAATATTTCTTTAATTATTTCTAGTATTTCTATTTTTTTATTTTGTCTTTTCCACCTCAGGAGTGCAAACTTTAGTGTTTTTGATTTTGTTTTTTGTTTTTTCTCCATTCTCTGTCCTTTTTTTGTTGCTGCAACATGAGCATTTCTCCAGTGTGGGGACTATAAAATTTAATCAAATCCAAGATATTATAATCTAATCCAGTCCAGTCTAATTTTATCTTATAGGTTATAACCAAAAAATAGAGATATTGTCACTTCTGTGTGATTACAAAATGTGTTATTTCAAAAGCAAGAAGGAGTTTCTGCTGCCGAGCCTTTTGTCGAAAGCAAAGACCGAGTTTATTTCAGTCTGCTTAGATACAATGATCTAACTCTTGTTTTTTGTTGAGACACAGACAAATTGGTATTTACTCAGTGGTGATGAGAAAATTGGGGTCTAAGTGATGTATGATTAATGTAGAAACACTGTCACCCAACGACTGTCTCATTGTGTTCAGATTTGCTACTTCACACTGATGATTATTTCTTTGTATTTTTTGCTCATCTTGTAGTACTTTAACCTGTAAAGGCTCACAGGCAGAGCTAAAGATAATCCTGCCTCGCTCAGATCGGTCAGTAGGTGTGTCCTAACTCTGGACAGACACTCAGTCCTGAACAAGGTCACTGTGAGGACAGTGAGGATTTCCGTCACCATCTCATAAAGCCTTGCAGAAACGAGTTTAATTTGTGCGAGAAACTCCAGGTAATCCATTCTTAAATTTGTAAGAAACACTGAGAAAAAAGTGAGTTTTCATTTAACCCAGTTGCTAATCTGCATGTTCTGATTGTGATGGGAAACAGAAGTACCAGGAGAATTCCCATGTAAACATGGTGACAGCCTTCAGAGTTTGTTGTTTTTTCTTTAAATCCAGGCATGACTGCAGCTGAGAGACTCATTAATTTAACACAGCACGCATTTGTATTGTACCTAAACACCATGTGGGACTGTCTGCACCTCGTCTCATCAGCAGCAACATCTTCCAGCCTTTGTTGTTCTTCTCTTTTAGCTTTGCTGCTCTTCTCAGATTCACATTTTCTAGTCCAGCCGGTGGTTCACAGCAACAAGGCCCCACAGTTTGTGTTCAGACAGATAGCTTTTGCACATGGAGTTTTTTTATTTTTTTCCCAATGTGTGTGAAGGTTTTCCTAAAGCAGTGAGTCCCAACTACTCTCACGGCACACTAATGTGCCGTGAGAGATCATCAGGTGTGCCGTGGAAAATTATCCAGTTTCACTTAATTAGGCTAAAAACTATTATTTATTTATTAAAAAATTATAATCAGCGCTGTTGAAGAAGATATTTGTGAGTGTCTTTCTTCAATTCCTGCCAGTATATCAGCATTGTTTTCATCTAAACAGGAGATTTTAGTCAATTATGAGGTCAAACAAACAAATCTAGATTCTGAATTGACAAACTTAAACAATTAATACCATCAAATAAACTAAACCATTACAGCCCGCTGACAAAGATCTTACTTTATTCTCGTATCTATTCTCGTCATTTTACTCATCATCTAAAGGACTGTAGATCTGCTACCAGGCCACAAACCCTGCCTCATCTGACAGTCATTAAAATTAAGTTATCACAGATGAAGAATAATAAAATATATTTGACATCCCTGGTTATGTAACAAATGTTGAAAAATGTTTTCAGCCCAGAGGGAAGATTGTCTTTTGTCAGATGTCGAACCAAAACCACTTGTTAAACTTTCTGTTTCTGCACACACTCCTGACACCCAGAGTCATTTAGAATCAGCGAAGAACATTTTGGCATTTTCACCATGATTAAAGCAGAACGAATAAACTGCTAAGTCAGGACTTGAACTCAGTAAGTTTTTATTTTCCCCAACTAGTTTATTTCTTCGCTTGAGGGGGCGAATAAACTGGAAAACGATTGAGGTACATGCACAGACTTGGAAATAGCACTTAGGGGTGTATCCCTTTGTTGGCTGACTTGTTGCTGCACACATACACACACTTCTTTTGTTGATGACTGGAGAGCCATCTTTTTTACCCTCCCTCCTCCAGCAAGGGCAGGTCTGAGCAGGAAAAACACCTCTCAGCAGAGGAAAATATCTAAACTAATTGAAAAATGGCAGGTGTGCACACAAACACACACAAACACACACACTGATTCATAGGCTCCGAGAGTCATACGCGCACACACCAATACCTGCACAGGCACGGTTTGAAGTGCTGACAAGGTAATCCTGGTCTGACCACACAGAGACACTCTTCTCTTTGAACCACCACGCTGTGAGATTCTTTGACACACAGGCAGTAAAACCCAACACAGAGTCTACATCCCCCTCAGACAAACACCCACGTCCTCCGGTTTTAGGACAGCACACAGAAGGAGGTGAGCAAGGTGTGGAACGCAGAGGAGAGGAGAGGAGAGGAGAGGAGAGGAGAGGAGAGGAGAGAAAAGAAAAAAGTGGGAAGAAGAGGTAAGAAAAGAGGGATGGAGATGATTCAGGTAGATATGTGGGGAGATGAGTCAAGAAAAAGAGGAAAAAGAAAGCAGGTAAGTAAAGGAAAGGAGGAAAGCCAGCAGATGCAAAGACAAAAGGAGAAGGAAAATGTACATGGAAGAAGGAAGGAAAGGAAAGG